GCAGAAGGAGATGTTTTTCTGGTACTCTCTTGCTTTCTCCATAATCCAGCGAATGTTGGCAATTTGATCTCTAGTTCCTCTACCTCTTCGAAACCCAGCTTGTACTTCTGGCAGTTCTCTATCCACGTACTGTTGAAGCTTAGCTTGTAGGATCCTGAGCATGACCTTGCTAGCGTGTGATATGAGTGCAATTGTGCGATAGTTTGACCTCCTATAAAATAAACCTTTTCCTTGTTTCACTCTGCCTGGTCCTCATGCCTGTTATTCGGCCAAAAGGGAGGTCTGAAGGTCTTGGGAGGGTGCTCTGGGCTTTCTCAAGGGAACCTAAAACCAGAGTGGTGGCAGCATCAGGTCACACCCCCACCTGAGCTGTGACAGACCACAATCAACAAAATGCTCCTAGTATGATCGTAAGGAAACCACTTCCCCCCTGGACTGCCGGTCTTGTGCACTAAGATTCCCACCTGTGCATCTACTGCAAATGCAAAAGGAAGATGGGAAGCAAGAGGCTAGAAGATCAGATACGTTTTACATTCAGCACCCAGTTAATCTCCATATCGTTGTGACTGGTCTGTTAAACAGCCCATCTCTTCAAAGCGACTTGTGACCACATACAGACACCAGGTGGCCCATACTGCTTTTGAAACTGCTGTTCGATGTGACAGGACCATGTTGCATCCCATAATACCAGTGTCCTCTGTCCACAGCATCACCAGGCTCTGCCCAGCGAGTCTCTGGGTTTGGGATGATAGGGACCGGAGGACCCATCTCGCCCCTTGCATGCGATTCCCAACCTCCAGGTGGAGCCTGGAGCTCCCCTGGAATTACAACTGAGGTCCAGACTACAGAGAAGAGTCTCCCTGGATAAAATGGCTGCTTTGGAGGGTGGACTCTATGACCTTGCACCCCACTGCCCGATCCCCGCCCTCCCCAGACTCCACTATTAATTTCCAGGAAGTTCCCAACCCAAAGTTCATAACCCTAAAAATTCATCCCCCCCCCATGTTTCTGGTTATAGGCCTGCAGGCAGCCTGATAAGCTCTGTGTAATAGATTCCCCCCCACCTCAAAAAAAAGGCCCTGAAATCACATTCCTGGACGAGAAGAGACACATTTCCACTGTCAAGTTTCTCCAGCTGCTTCTGCTTGGGATTTTATATTTTTCTTTCTGATCTATGACTTCCTGAAGACGGTTGGTGAAAGTAATCTTTCCTTTTAATTCATCATGTTAAGATAGCAACCAGGACAGATTCCTGGGATGGGGAAATTTAAACACAGGGGATTGGTTAAAGGGTGGATGTAGCGCCAAGAGGGCACAGCGGAGCCCTCGCACTGCCAGGTTTGCAGCAGGCATCGCCTGTCATGGCTGGCCCTGCTCCTCGTACCCCGTCACCTTTGTTTGCCCCTGGGACCAGAGCTGATCGTGTGATCAGCATCACATTTACTTGGGCTGTAAGACAAAGGTGGCTTTAGGGTCGTTCTTCTTCACAGCAAGATAATTTCCCTCAGTTTTTTGAGGTCAGATAATTGGGGGAAAACAGCCATAGAAATTTCTTGGCAGGTCGTCCTTTTTTGGGGGGGAGTAATCCTCTGCTACCAAAAATGTAACACCTGCTGTTTACTTCCCTTCTGCCTTCCCCACAGAATAATATTTCTTCTCTTTATGAATTACCAGCATTCTCGGAGCTGGTAGGCTTGCGATAAATGACATATTTACAATAATTATTCCTGATTAATTCCTTCTGCTGAGCTGATGTGTGACAAAGGAACACCAGAGAGCATTTGTGCATGGAATTATACACAAATACAAGGATGAAAAGCTTGCAAAACCATTAGCAGAGACAAACTGAGTGGACGAGATTCAGCGGGCCGCTGCCCATGAACTGCATGACACAGGTCTTTATTTGGACGGTCCGTTCTTTCAATGAGCCCTCATTCTGTCTCTCACACAAGGGCATTTGTGCCCACACAAAAGTGTCCATTAACTGTATGCCATGGAGCACCCAATCAGGCAATCCTGCCAATACCATGTGACAAACTGGTGGCATATAGCAAAGAAAAGGAATAAATGAGAGCTTAAATGCGTTTGTTCCCATAAATTCTTCTCTGCAGGTTCTGATGTCGAATATTCTCCAGATACTTTTCAGATATTAAGATGTGTGTG